TTTCCTGTCGTAGGATGACATTTGAAGACTTCTGCAAATATTTCACCGACATCATCAAGTGCCGTCTCATAAACACCTCCTACCTGAGCATCCACAAGACGTGGGAGGAGGCGGTGATGCGCGGGGCGTGGACAAGACACGACGAGCCCCTCAAGAACCGCTGCGGAGGCTGTATCAACCACAAAGCCACCTTCTTGCAGAACCCCCAGGTGAGACGGCAGAGAGGCATGGAGAAGAGGATCTGCCAGTAATGACCTGAGGCCTGGCAGGGTAACAAGAGCCTGCTTGGGCCATCGGAGGCCAAAGTCTGGAGTGGCTGCCAGACTCCTAAACAGAGCAGGCAGCCATGGTGCTGTTCTGGGGTTAACCACCTGCAATGAGCTCTTCTGTGCTTTTTGTCTCTGGCGCTGAGAGCTTTGCTGTGAGCTAGCCATAGGATTTTTGGCTAAGTGCATCAAAATCAAAGGAAACACGTCTGTGCGCAACAAAGCCACTGCCTTTTGGAAACGAGAGGAAGCATGGTCCAGTGGTTAGAGCACTAGCCTAAGACTAGACCTGGGTTCAAGTCCCTGTTCTGCCCGACTCCTTTGTACCTCAGTTCCCCGTCTGTGCAATGGGGATAATAGCACAGGGGTGTTGTGAGGATACATACATTACAAATTGTGAGGGGTTCAGATATGCGAGTGATAGGATGGACAGATGAGATAAATCCTGTACAAGCCATGCTTGGGCCTTCCTAGACAGAGCCAGGTCAGACTGGGTGCTGAACTTCCCACACAAGTGCAAGTCCCCTAGGCATCAGGCTTAGTCTACTCAACACATGGTCACTTGCTGGGTTTGGACCCAGGTTATATCCAGAGGTGAGAAAGCTCACGCACCCCTCTTGGCACCGTTAACCCCTTCTCTCCCTGCTCCCCCTCGCCATCAGCACGCCTTACCGAACGGAAGGCCTCTCACCTTTCCTCTCTCGGTTGTGTCATTACTTCTAGTACGTGTTTGATGTGAAAAAGGCGGAAGACGAAGTGCTCTTCAGCATCCAGCAGAAACCAAAGAGGACCAGCCGCAAAGAGGGCAAAGGAGAGAACTTGGCCATCGGGTTTGAGATCCAGAAGGTAAGCTGGGGTATGTACCTTGTTGGCCTGAGTGCCTGGGTGCATTAGAGGGGGCAGATGGCTCGGGAAGCTTCCCCCGCTCCCCAGCAAACCCGAGCAGGACCCTGGCAGAACGCTGCTCTTGGTAGCACTCCCCTGTGCATAAGTAGGGGATAGATGGAATGTCAAGCTGCCCCATGACTATAGGGGGCATGGTCATCTGAGTTGAAGGTGTTACTAGGCCCCTCCCCTCTCTGCAGCTGGAAGCACAGGGGGAGGGAAGGGGTGGATTGAACCCCACACATGGTGTCACTGCCCTCGAGTGTGGGGCTCTCAGGCACAGATCGCTGATGTCAGGAACTCACTACACATGCGAAGACAGTGCATCGCGCAGACAGGGTCTGTGGTCACCAGATCTCGGGCCTGAGGTCGGAGGGACCAAAGACCTGTAGTAGAAGAAGCACTGTGGGGAGACATGATGGAGGAGGGAGGATCCTAGAGAGAACATGGCCAGGGATAATTGAAATCACTTTCTCCCAGATACTGTAAGCCTGGCCTGGGTCATGCGGCAGTGGCCGGGAAATGACTGGGTGCCACTGGCTTAGTCATACCTGACAGCATGAAAGCGGTAGGAGGGGGCACCGAGGGTGTTAGTATCAGAAAGACTGGGACACTGGGCGAGCTTTCAGAGCGGTAGGGCAGTAAATACACATACACCCAGCAAAGCAGAAGGGATAGCCCCTGCTAAATAGGAGTGGTTGATCTGTTACCCTGAGCCCTGAACCTCCCTTTAACCTACCTGGTGTGGTGCTCCATCTCTCGCTAGTAGCTAGACCACATAGAGCGGTTTATGTGTCTGCTCCTGTCTCCACTGGAACTGATGCTTTAGCTCAAGCGGCAGCGGCTCCTGCTTTTAGACCCGGACACCGTGGGTCCAGTCCCTGCAGATGGACCCACACGAGGGGCCGTCGTTCCAGGGGTATTGAAAAGATCTGTGCTGAGTATCCTGTTGTGATCTATGCCCAGGTTGAACTGAACCGGAATTACAGGATGCACACCCTGCAGCAGCAAGTGGCCACCTCCATCTACATTAACTCCCGGAGCATCTTCCTGAGGACAGACCTGAAGGAAGGCCGCTACGTCATCATTCCAACTACCTTTGACCCGGGGCACATGGGAGAGTTCCTTCTCCGGGTTTTCACAGACGTGCCTGCAGATTGCAGGTAAGGAGCCCATCTTCTTATCCTCAGCGTCACGTGCCAAACTGGAACAGGGTAAACTCCCTGGCCTGGATCTCAACCCCTGCCCTGGCCCGAAGGAAGCTCTCAGTAAGGGCCTGTTCTGGCACAATGTGACTTAGCAGGTGAATTTGCAGATCACAAGCTGCTTCAGAACCTGATAGATGTTCATGATCACTGGGCGACCTAGTGGGTTAATGACCCAGTGTGCAAACTAAGGTGTTTCTTAGTAAAACAAATGAGGACGGGAAGGATGGCCCAGTGCTTAGGGCACTAACTGGGGACTTGGGAGTTCCTAGGATTCCAATTTCAGTTCCCTGCTCTGCCACAGACTTCCTGTGCGACCTTGAGCCAGCCGCTTGGTCTCTCTGTGCCTCAGTGTCCCATCTGTAAAATGGGGATAAAAGTACCTCACTGAGAGGATAATACATTAAAGATGGGGAGGTGCTCACAGGCTCGGGTGATGGGCACCATGTCAGTACAATAGCTAGCTAGATAGAAGGAGCTTGCTCCTTATATGAAGAATAAATCCATGCTCCACAATGAACATGTACCCTGCCCTAGAATTTGCACTTTCTTTTGCCCTTGTTTTTATTCTCTGCAATAAAGAAAGAAAATGGCCAGGAAGGTAGGTAGAGAGCGAGGTGTAAATCCCGCCAGACTCATTGCAGGCTGTGTGGGATTGGGGGATTCCTGGGGGTATTTTCTTTTCTCACGCCCTATTTCCCAACAGCTAAGTTACAACCAGTGCATGTTTAACGTGATGTGGAAACCAAGTGACCTCCCTCGGCCTTCCCCATCCTCTGCCTTCCAGTCACCAAACCCGCATGGAGTTTGCATTGGGCTTCCTTTCAGTGGGGACCCAATTGGCCGGCCAGCCGTGCGCACCTCACTCCCTCCTCCAGAGGCGTCCGGCGCAATATCCAGATCTGCCTCAGAATGTCCCACAACAGGGCTCTGCTCAGCGGCGCCGACTTTCTACTATGCCAGGGAGAGCTCAACCTCCGCCTTGCCCCAGGCTCTGTCCCCACTCCACCCCTTCCCCCAAGGCCCAGCCATGCCCTGCCTCTTCCAGCCCTGTTCCTCCCCCGAGTACACCCCGCCCTTGCTTCGAGGTGCTGGGAGAGAGGGGGAGGTGCTGATTGGTGGAGCCACCGGTGGGCGGGAGGCGCTGATCCGGGGGGGCTATGGGTGGGTGCTCAGCACCCACCATTTTTTCCCCGTGGGTGCTCCAGCCCTGGAGCACCCACTGAATCGGTGCCAACGGCTCTGCTGTTAGAAAGAGGTGTGAGCTCTGGGAGCCCAGGCATGTCTGACATGACGTCTCCCTTGCTGTTGATCCCCCACGCAGAGAACTGACCTTGGATGAGCCTGCCCGCACCTGCTGGAGTGGAATGTGTGGCTATCCACAAGTGGTGTCCCAGGTCCATGTCCTGGCAGCGGCTGGGCTGAAGAACCAGGATTCCCAAGGAGGTACGGGCCTTTTTTATTGCTTGTTCTGCACTTGCTGAGGGACGGGAAGCCAGTGTTGAGCTTTGGTTTTGTTAGAAGGAAAGTAGGACCAAGTCCTTTGTTTTCAGATCATGTTCCAGGACCTCCAGCACATGCTGATGATCCAACAGGTGCTAAGATAGGGTACCATGGGGATGGCTCCTTCGAAATACAAGAGATGGAGCGGATGTGGTTTATTTCACAGAGACCCATTTGGAAGACAGGACGGAGAGGGACCTTCTGGGTCAACAAGCCCAGTCCCCTGCCATTACAGGCAACTCCCCATCATTCATTATACTGCTGCAGGATCGGTTCTCCACTGCCCGGCATCTTACGTGGTCATGTACCCCAGTGCAGCATGGGTGTATGACTACCCGAGGTGCCAGGCAATGGAGAATCAGACCCACAACCTCTCCTGGAGACGTGGGTCAGGGAGCCAGAGGTTTCCAATATTACAGCGAAATCGCTATTAGAAGATCAGCAGAAGAGGAGCATCTTGTGAGACCCAAGGGCTCCGTAAAGATCAAAAGGCCCCTTTGGGTGTCAAGGCTTCACAGGCGGTAGCTGTGCTGAGATTCTGGGACATTAACAGAACGGCTCTGCATAGATGTAGAGTGACCCTGCCCTGTAAGGCACGTTCACGGAAAGGACATTGCACAAGGCTGGAGGCGTACAAGAGATAACAGGCAGCACATTACACGGTGCATAATCACACTCACAAGCACGAGCTGCAAGGCATTACGGAGGCCGATGGTTTAGCGAGATCGAAACGGGGTCAGACGCTTTCCGTCACTAAGCATGGCCTTTGCCGTTCCAGAAGGGAAGCTACACAGGCTCAAACCATGCTGGGGCTAGGAAGTGGTTACAGTATTACAAAGTATGTATCTCTGCATAGCTGGCAGGTGCACGGGGTGGGGGGCACTGGGAGGTTCATGTGGCTTTAATGCATCGAGTCTAGGCCCTTGCAGGGTACTGAATTGCTTGCATCCCTCCTCTGTCCTTTGGGGACCGGCAGTGGATTCTCCAGAGGGGTGCACCTTCTGTTGGCACTTTGCCATTTGCAGGGCCTCTCATCAGAAAGACAGCCGCACAGCGCCCCCTAGAGTTGTGCTGGTGAGTCCTGGCTCGTTTCTTGGCTGCTAAAGAGAGCGACCTGGCAAGGGGCCTCCAGTTTCATCACTTACATCTGGATCAAGAAACCCTAGGATAATAGTGGTGGGGGGTAGAGGGGTGACTTTTGCTGGTCCTGCTTTCAAAAGGAACACGGTAGCTACCATGGACATTAGTGACTTTTCCTGATTGGAACTCGTCCTATCACAACCCTTCTCACCACCTCACCGGTAATGAGTTCCCAGGCAATGTGCATCAAGGGCGATCCTTGCAGGGCCTTGAGAAGGATCCTTGTGGCAAAGCGGCTGTTCCAAGACTAACACCGCTCCTTCCTTAGGCTATGCTGCATGTTCTGCAAACAGAGCCCTTCTAGGCTCTCCAGCAGGGATGTAGAGGGGTTTATCCCCAGCAGGTTTCTCCTCAGGGGAGAGACAATGACTTGCTGGCTCCCTGCTTACAGAACGCATCAACCTGAGTCGTCTGTCACCTACCCTGGGGTAAGCCAGTGGCAGCTCCACTCAACTAGCAGATGGAGTCAGTGGGCTGGTGACTAGGGGGCTGGTCTGAGA